CAGATACCAGAAAAAAGAAAAGAAAAGAAAAGCTGCTGGAAGAATGGAAAAAACTTCCCAAAATGAACATGTTCTTTCAAAGAACCGAAGAGGGAGAGGTGGACGTTGCTGCTACAGCACATGTACTTCATATGCACACCCAGTTAATGTTGCTTATGGGCCTATTGTTTTGTCGTTATGCCATTGGTTACTCTCCAACTTTGCCTGTGTTACCATTAGCCTCCAATACCTTTACAACCTAACAGGAGTAATGGGTAAGAGTATCTGGTTAATTTTGATGCTATACTATTAGGTAGCCGACTGAGCCATCAGCGGATTAAACTGTTTGGTTTGAGCTGTTCATCTGGGAAGTGCAGAGTTAGTGATGAGGAGACCGACATAACACTATTGGGTTTTCTATGTCTCGAAAATTATATTTAGACCAATATTGTTAGCTTGCATCATCTGGGAGATTTACTACTAAGATGTACCAGATACATAAGGTTGGCTGAATGTTAAAGATTGTTCTGAAACATTAGCATCATGATGTTAGTTTGCATATGGCACCATTTGGCATTCGTACTCTTAACAATGCTGGAAGTTTGCCTCAAAAAGAAAAATGAAACTAGGTAGGATTAATTTGCGGCTTCAGTAAAGTGCTCTCTATGCAGATTGTTGATCATAATTGAAGTGAAATAGTTTTAGATCAGGGTTTAAAAGAGCAAAATTTTTATTTATTTTTTTTGCAGAAATAACATAGTGAAACGGTAAAAAGAAAAAAAAGAAGCTACTGTTCAAAAACATCATCTTAAATCATTCTGAATCGGTAAAAAGCAAAATCTTTCTAACAAATACAGGGGATTAAATAATTGCATTTTTTTTTATTTTTTTTAGATGCATTAAAAGAATAAATACTTTTTTTGCATGCATTATTCTCCAATGCACCAGCCAAATGATGTTAGTCCTCAGATTAAAAGAATGCAGTTGCACTGTAAAAGAAAAGTTAAGTAAAAACCAAAACAAAAATAAAAGAAATCAAGCTGTGTTTATGTATGCCCTGTATATACTAATATTGATAAAGCTGAACTGTATTTGGTTAAGGCAAAAGGGCAATATGTGCATTTTTTAAAATTACATATATTGGGAACATGGCAACATTTACTACGGTAAGAAGGGCTTTGCATTAACTGCAAGATGGTTAGAGCTTGAAACATCTTGTATTATTTCAATGAGAATCATTTTGCTTTAAATAAATTGGGCATTCTTGTGCCAATTATTATTCTGCAATGTCTAATTCTACCTTTTGAATGATAACATTGAATAAGATACATTTTTTTACAGCATTTAACATGTTTCATTTATTGCAATTATTCTTTCAATCATTAATCAACACTAGATCCAGAACCAAGCTGTAGTCTTAAACTCACTGACTCAGCCAAGATGTAATCAGCTATCTGCTGCATGTCGGAAGATGGGGGAGGGAACTTACTCAGTCCTTTATTGGCCCTCTAATTATTTCTCACATCACATGATTAATATTGTCACTTTGATTTAGTTCTGAGCTCCTTAGATGAAAGAGTCTGTGACAGAGGACACTGCTTCTACAGCAATAGGTCGGGGATGTTTCCTGCCTGATCATTTCTGGGCCGGTGAGACACCTCCATCCTCTAGAGTGAGAAGGCTTTGAGTCAGGATGCTGGAGTCCAGCCTGCTGGCTTGTGGAGACTAGGTCTGCAACTGTGGCCAGGTTTTTTCCTAAGCAGAAACTGGTAGTAGGATGCCGCTGGTGTTTAAGCTGCAGTCAGAGTGCCAGTGGATCCCCTCCAGAACTAACAAGCCTGTTTATTTCAAGAAAAGCCCCCACAAAAGCCAATACTCAATATGCAGCTCAGAGCCACAGATGTGGATCAGAACATGCAAAGAGGAAAGGTCTCTAGTGGATTTTGAGTTAACCTTCAGAAATGTGCTTTTGATGAAAGGGAATCTGAGATAAACTGCGTTTTAATCAAGGAATACTTTGTGAAAATGTGTCTGAAAATGTTCAACCAATTGTAGATATTAAAGTGTAATAATGTTTGTAATTTACAAGCTGCAAGTTGAGTGTGTTAAAACAGCTCCAGAGCAGTTCATTAAATGTGATCTTCATTAGAAAATGGAACATGCTGTTTTATTTGCATACGCTAATATCATGAACCTCACTGTTATTGCCTTCTGATGAAGCTCAGGTAATTTGGTTAAAACCTTAACTTCCATTAAATTATTATCTCCATTACAAGGTAATCTGTAAACTGTTTTAGTTTAATAACAAAAACCCAAATTCCTATTTTGCATTTTAATGTGATATTTGGACTTTAATGTAATTCTTTTGTAGCTTACAAAGGGATTAAATCTAAACCCACACTAATTTAAGTTACCATTATTTTTCTGTCTTTTGTACATATAATATAAGGGGGCTATTTGTCAAAGTAAGAAGAGCAAAATCTTAGTTTTGCATTTCTTAGATATTAAGAAGCAATGTTCCCAAGGTAAGGACTTCTGACTCAAAATGGATTTCAGATTAAAAAGTTAAACTCATTAATCAATTAGAAATAAAAAATAAAACTGGTGTGATGTTTTAATTTGAGCATACTTATTCAGATTCCACACCAGGTCTCAGATTGTTTATGCACGCTTCTTTCTGTGTGAAATTAAAATGCATCGGAATAAAATCATTCTGGCTTTGAGATTCAGAAATTTATACTAGAGAAAACATATTTAGCATTGATTGATTTTAACAAATTTAATTTTGTTTCATGTTTAACTGTTACACTTTTAGTTTTGATATGAGAGAAGATATGAGGAGAGGAAATGAGAGAGAACAATTGCATAAAAATTCTGTATGTTTTCGTAGGTGTTTCAATGCAAAAGATTATGTAAACCATAAAGCTGAAAAACTGCCAGGATGGAAATTAGATTATTGAGAAATCAGGATTTTTTCAGAAGGATAAATCATGGCATGTAACAATAATAGTTTATGTTTTTCATTGGTTGCTTTGTAAAGGAGCAAAGAACTGATAAGAATGATATTGAAAGGTGAAAAAATTGTTTTTTTTCCTCTCAGAAAAGTATCCCATGATGGGTTTGACTGGGTATGTGGAGATGCTGCAGCCAGCGTTGCTGTTGCTGCTAATGTAGGGCTTCATCTTTATGGTGATTATTGGGCTTTAAAAAGTACAGGTCTGCAGATACAACTCCGGTCTGACAAATGGATTCCTCAAAGAGAATGATATGTCTAATTTGTTCATTTCAAGTTTAGTCTATGTTACAAATGGGAAGTTTGATTGAAACAAGATCAGGTGAGGTGGGATTAAATATAGCTATTGTTTCTACGTATGACCTATTTTTAGTCTGAGTTGAAGAAATATCAGATTAACACGAACTTTAAAAAGTTTTCTAGCTGCAGGCAATGATAATAGTATTATATCGAAAATATGGGGAAGCTAAGAGCTAATATTAAGATTGATGCATTTAAATATGGGCATGGTCTTGGCTGTGATTGACAAATGGACTGACAGCAGCAATGGCAATTTAGCGATCAGGAGCTTTTTGCAAAGAAGCAGCAGTGTCTGGCGGAAGATGGGGGGGTTCTGGCTCTAGAGATCCCTCGATGACTGGATATTTCATTCATGAATTACAGGATTATCCTAATAGCGTGAATGAGAACATTAAAGTTGGAAGAACTCTTGTCTGAACTAATAAATCTTACTAAAGTCCACAAGAGAAGGCAAAAGTTGTGAAAACTCAAAAATCTCTTGCATCATGTTGCATTAATTTTTTGTTTTTTGTTTTCACATGTATGCGGGAGAGAAATATGCTTTAAAACCCCATAGCCATACATGTGGGAAAAAGTTTTGAGTGTCAAGATCAATCTTTTGTTTTGTATATAAATACATGCTACAGCTTAATTTGTTTATTTGTAAAAAGGAAAAAAAAATGAAGCAATATAGTATTTTTTTCCTTCCACTTTATAATTGGAATCTACATTTTATTTTTATGTGCAGTTTAAAAAAATTATGAAAAGAAATCTGTAGAAGAAAGCATGTTCTATTTAGATTGTTTCTTACACATTTTTTCATTGCTTTTAAAACACTGGCTTCCTTTTTGTACTAGCTGCACTCAAGGAATATATATCTGCCCTTTACCATTAAACAAAGAGCTTCAGTTTGTCCAAGAGTAAATGCATATACTGAATAATTTTATTTTGCATGTTAGGACCTGTATCGTAATAGTAATTCTCATTGGTCTGCCCTGATATTGAGGTCAGCATGTCTTGAAACAGACTGAAGAGATCAGGTGTGTGTCAGATGTTGCCTTTTTAAGATGGGGCTGAGCTTTCCCTGGGGAAATCAGCTTAGCTTCATGTTGATGTAGATCTTATAAGAAGCTGTTTGCCTGAATCTCTGTTTTGTATTAATTCTAGTGCAAAGGCAGGTAGTCATTTACTTTGGACTGATATATATATACAATTACACAATGCAGCACACTAAAAGATCCCACCAAGGAAAGCCTTTTTTTTTCTTAATGAAAATGTCCGTCATAGTGAATCGTCTCAACCAGAGAAAGATAAACCATACATGGTAAAATGTTGAAGGGTCATTTTAGGTTACACGACATTGCCCACCACAGTTTGGCGTCTCCTGCCTACCGAGCCAATCACAGACAAGGACTCTGTGATGCAGTTCACCTCTTACTGGAGGGATTCCGAGGAACTGCTGCGTGACGATGCTTGAGCTTAAACAGCTCAGCCTCTCCTGACACTCTCACCTCCTCATCACCCCCACCTTTAGTTTTTTTTCCTTGTTTTATTCTCCAAGCTGTGCCAGAGGTGTCCCAGCTGTGAATGTGTCTGAACAGGATGAAAATGTAGGACTGTCCACACGGCTTCCTCCAGTCTGGGTATACAGGCAGCAGACAGTCATCAACCAGCTCTCCTCATCTCCGAGTTAGGCTCCACCTCTCACTTTCCCTCCCAGCTCTCTCTCCATCTTCCACTCAGCATCCCACATACACACAGCATACACACAGTTTTATACACACACCCTCTCTCCCAGACTCCCCAATCCATACGAGCGCGCCTTCTGATCAGGGCCAGCAGCTTTGGAGCTGAAGGTGTGCAGCTGTTGCCAGGTAGGAAAACACATTATTTTACAGCTTACCCTGGAAGTTAAATAGTAAAGTGTTTTTCTTAGTACATATTAGGTAATTTGTTTGCTGGTATTGATGGTACATCACTAGAGCTACTATTTACTCCAACTCCCTGTCGTTCTTCTTGACACCATATTTGGCGCCTGTTTTTGCACTTTGTTTTTGGTTCCTGTATGCGCTCAGGGGCTGCTGGAGGTAAAGGGTGGAGTGCAACAGCTGATAGCCACGCTGCCTGATATAAAACACGTTTCTAGTTGTGAAGAGAGTCTACGATGAGTATGTGTGGGCAGATGAAAGGAAGAGGGGAGGGGATGTCAGAAGGAAGAGGAGCAGCTGTTTTCATCCTATAGAAGCGAATCTCCTCGTTTGTTCTTTGTCCATCTGATAGTCTGAGATCAGAGCTCTGGCATTTTCGTTTTCTCCTACCTCCATCATTTAGTTGTGATGGGTTTATCTTGAGACGGAAGAGAAAGTGGCAAGCTGTTGATTCGGAAATGAGCTGTAGTGCCATATGACAAGCATGAAGATTTTCCTCTTGCAACAGTTTGTGCCTAATTATACATCTCACTTTATTTTTGCTCCCTTTTGTCCCGGAAGCCGATAAGACTGAAATGCCAATTTGTTTTAACTGGTTACCGAGGATCTCTGCTGTTGTTGTGATTGGTGGGAACCCCCCTTGCTGTAAAGGAGGCTTATCACCTCCCACAGGTTTTAGTGATGGAGCGCCGATTGGCTGTTGCACAGTGCACATGGAGCGGGTCTCTCCAGAGTCTGTACAAACAACGTCAAGCAAATCCATGGTGACTGCTGTGCATGCTCTACTGGGAATTGTTAAAAGCAGATGGCCTATCGCCCTCTTCTCCCAGATTACCTGATAACTCATAAAGCGTGATCAGATGGTGTTGGGGGAGTGGGTTGGGTTGCTTTAGTAGCTGCATAACCTGCTGCTTTGAATACATTTTGCAGGAGGCTCCGATGTGTCACACTGTTACCAGGTGACTGAAAGCGTGTCAGCAAGGCAACACTGTGTGCTTCCACTAACCATGTCTAAATGACTCTTGGTTTGCTTCTCTAGGTAGAAATTGTGTTTGATCCCCTATAAATGGCAAACAAGCCTATGTCCTAGAATTATCTGTGGTGCTGTTGAAGTTTAGCACCTCCTTTGACCATAGAAAGTTTCTACTCAATTTTCTCTGGTTCCTGCTACAGTCTTCACCATATGTCTTTAGGAATGTATCTGACCAACACAAAGTGGCAAATGACACATGCTTTTTTAAATGAATGACATGAATTTATTATAAAATCATGACATTATTTGAAAACGGAAGACAGAGGATCTCAAAATAACGTAGTGTAGCAGCACAAACCAGAAAGCTACAGTAAGGAAGAATTGTTTAAATGCGAGCTTTTTATATTTTAAAGGTTTGAGTAAAAAATTCAAAAGCTGCTTCTGTGAACTAAAAATCCCAAAAAGGTTTTATTAAAACACTAAATAAAATATTTGCATATCACCACAAAAACTTTCATGGTTGCTAATTAATTAGACTGCATAGATAAAAGGCTTAAACTAACACAAAATAAAGAGCTACGAGGGAACCATACGAGGTAGCTCCTCCAAATTAATATACAATTATGTTTTCTTTTTCCTTCATTTTATTATAAGATTGTAACCTTTTATCACTCGGCATCTTTAGACTGGATAACACTTATTCTTGCAATCCAAAACACTGTTACAAAGATAGTAAAATTTGTTTAAGCATTTTTATTTTTTTATGTTATTTTTTATTAGGGACATGAAAGCTGGTCTGAGTTAGTGGGAAATTGGATTGAGCTAAACATTGGGCTTTTTTGAAAGAAAACCAGCAAAAAACTTAAGTCTTTAGTAAAGATTTAATATCATCCAATCTTTATGATGTTGGCCTCACCCAGAGGCGGTTCCAAGGATTAGGTTGTTATTGAAAAAAAATGAAAAACAAGCTGGTCTATTAAGAAACGGAGTCAGTCACAATGTTCTATAAGCAACATTGCAAACAGCTTTTTCATCGCAACAACTCAGCTTCTCCCTTCCTAAGCATGTTTCTCACCAAATCTGAAATAAAACACTTTCAATACACCAAACACCTTTGGTTCACTGACTACTACTTAGCATTAAAAAAAGAAAAAAAAGAAGAAATTGCTAAAGCTTGCTTATTTTTATAATGTAAAACCTGGTGAAGATATAGCCTAATATATTTGCTAGTGTTAGTTCTGCAAATAATAGACTCAGGGGAGCCAAATAGAAATGCGCACCACATTATTAGAAGTGTATATATATCAGGAAGGAGGTAACTCAGGCAGCCACTCAGCCGTAACCAGGGGTGCTGGGATGTTTTATCAGGCTTGTTTGGGGGCTGTTAATGGGAATTTTTTTTATTTTATTTTTTTTCAGATGCAACTGATTTATTTTCATTAGTGAGGCAAAAGTACAGAAGTGCTTGTTGTGGAACACAACATTTTTTTTATAATTAAAGTTTTTTATTTTGTTTTATGAACATGTAACAAAAACAACAAACAAAAACAAAAAACAAAACCAGTCAGGTAAACATTGTTGATTGTAAGGCCGCATTCACATCCATCACACATTGCCCTGGTTCCCACTCAATTAAATACAGACTGGACACCTAATTAAGTCCCGCTTAGCTTGACCGATCCTGGTCTTGTCCAGGTTCAGTTCAAAATTTGGTACTCCTTAATTTAATATGTTTAATGGGTATTTTTTAACTCAAAATTTCAAGCATAATGGTTACAGTGATAACTTTTTTTCATGAGAAATACAAAATGAACTTTAACCGAAAAACCAAAAACCATCTGGCTGAAAGGGTATCTGCCAGATTTACATTGAATTTATCTAAAGACCCTCAATTATGAAGACTTAATCAGAGGATGGAGGAGTAAAAAAACATCATTGCATTATAAGACAGAGGAGCGTGTTTTCTCTACTGGACAGCAATATAAAATGGAGGATATAAATAGAAGTGTGTTATGGTTTGACCTTGTGTGGCCATTTGGTGGTGGGTGTCTGAGCTTGGACAGTAATGCTGCCATCATTGAACACGAGTCTGGCTGGTTCATAAATCATGATTTGTTTTCCATCTTTGGACTGTCCTCTATAAGGACGTTCGTTCCTGTAATATTGAATTCATTTTCTTTAACCTTACTTTAATCAGTATCGTCATTGAATTTGTAGAAAAATCAGTTGATAAGACGGCATTAATGGATGACACTGGTACCCTTTCTCATTGTATTATGCAACATTTTGCGAAATATGATGTTCAGGTGATAAATGTTTCACTGTAGGTCTTATTTTCTACATGTCTTAAACCGGTTCAGTGAGTGTACATTTAAACTGAATAATTAAATATCTAGGACAAAAGAAGACAAAAAAAAACTCTTATCTTTCCCCTCATCATGCCCTGTGGTGGCGCTCAAGGGCCATGTTGTAGGGAGCCCTTTATGAGGGGCCATCCTGGCGCTATGGAAAGCAAAGCTTTTGCTCGGCATTGACTTGGTTCTATTGAGTCCTTCAAGCCAAGACCAACAGCATGAGTTCACTGCAGAGTGTGAAGCAGCAAGGATAAAGATCAAGCTCCTTGAAGTCTGAATGTTTCCCTATTGGAAAAATATGACTTACCCCATTAAGGTCGGGCAAGAGTTGCTGCCTCAGGTGGAGAAGTCCAGATATCTTAATGGTCCTGTTAAGTGAGGGGAAGATGAAAAGGAATATCAGTAGACATACAGTAGTAGCTATTAAAAATTTCCCCACTTTCCTTGATGGCTCCTTGGGTGGTTTTTGTCTGGTCCCCTTGAATTCTTTTTTAATCATAAATATTTGTACTAAAATATTCTTTCTGTCATGATTTGCGGACATTAAGATCTAAAGAGAAGTGTCATCTCCTGGTCAGATCCTGTAATTCAGTGAAAGGGTGGAGTGAAGAAAATATGCAAGATGGTAAATGGTAAATGGCATGTACTTATATAGCGCCTTTTTTCAAGTCAGGTAACTTGACCAAAGCGCTTTACAATACATTCATTCACCCATTCACGCACACACTAACACACTGATGGTGGCAAGCTACATTGTAGCCACAGCTGCCCTGGGGCTCACTGACAGAAGCGAGGCTGCCGTACACTGGCTCCACTGGGCCCTCTGACCACCATCAGTAGACAATGCAGGTGAAGTGTCTTGCCCAAGGACACAACGACAATGAAAGTCGGAGCTGGGGCTTGAACCGCCAATCCTTCGATTTCAGGGCAAACTCCTACATCCAACGCCTCTGTCGCAAGAGGGGGTCACTGCAGTGACTGGAAGTTGGAGGGCATTTCCCTGGGAGTTGGAGGGAAATGGGCTGCCATTCGGCTGCCGTTTGATTGAAAGGGCCATTTTGAATGAAAGCAAAAGGCAAAGCTCTTCATATACAAGTCAGTCTATGTTCCTACCCTCACTTATGGTTGTGAAATCTAGATCTACAAGAATGGGACCCTGGATACAAGTGGCTGAAATGGGCTTTTGACGGGGTGGCTGGGCACGTCTTCAGAGATGGGTTGAGGAGTTCTGTCAGCTGGGAGAGGCACAGATGGGGGTTGCTTCTCCTCCATATAGAGAGAAGTCCCCCTGGATGCCTCCAAGCCAGGTGCTCAAAGCACGTCCCTTGAGGAAGAGGACCGTGGACGGCCCAGAACATGTTGGGAACTGGGAAGAGGGACGTCTGGGAGTCTCTGCTGAGGCTGCTGCCACTGTTCCGAATAGGTGAAAGAGTATAACAAAGAAGATCTGTCAAAAACTTGTCGTCCCTGTTTGATTTTTAAAAAAAAAATTTTACAGGGGATTTTGTAATAAAGAAAACAAAAAAACACAGGGTCAGTATTTTGATTATAGATTTGATTTTATGCATAACCTCCACCACAACACAAAATGAAATCACCAAAAGATTTCTTCTAGCTGT